AAAGGTTCCCCATGCCTGGGTTAGAGTGTATAGTGCAGCATAATCCAGGTTTTGTGGTTTAGGATTTAGTTTTAGGTTGCTTTCCAGGTTTGCATAGTTCAGCAAGTTCATCTTAGTCTTGTTCAGCCCTGAACAGATGGGGAAATTCTTGTTGTTTGCTACTGCAACAGGACTGCTTAATGTGTGGACACCTGCTCATAACCTGCACAGCTGATTAAGCTACCCATCTTGAGAAACCAAGGGTCAGGTCTGAGAGTGGATGGCTCCAGGTTCTACTTCAAATATGCTTTTCTCTAGATATGAATTCCGTAGATGAATTCCCTACCTCCTTTTCCAGTTTAGATCAATGCATTTTATAAAACAGAATAACATGGTTTTGTAAACCATAGGTCTTTTGGATGATACATTAAGTTGCTGGCTAAAACAGTCACCCCTTGTAACCTCATTCATTATGAGAAGACAAGACAAACTATTCTGGCCCCATGGAAGCAAAAGCAACGTGTTTATACAAATAAGTAACAATAGGCGAGAAAACAGAAAGCAGCTACCACACCCAGGGAGCTTCAGAGAGAAAGAAGAGCTCTGTACCAGGAAGAATTTTGAATCATGTAATATTCTCTATACTAGCAGGTTGTAGCATATAAGTAGCATTGTTGAAACAAGCAAAATGGTTCTATGGAAGTATCAGATTGACCTGTCAGTAAAAGAAGCAAGCTAGTACATAGTCTGAATGCAGCAATAATTAGGAACTAGCTCATCAGTCCTGTTCAGATGGCAACTTAAAAGAACACACTCTTTCTGGAGTTGAGGAGGAGGAGGAGGAGTTGGGATTTTCCTGCAGCCCAACCCCATTCCCATTGTTGTTAAGGGTAGTGGAGACCCTTTCCTCCCCCCAACTTTGCACCACACTTTTCAATGCTTATTGGCCTCACTTTACTGTAGTAGCTGAGGTATAGAGTGAAGCCATATCTGGGAGGGAGTGATTTAAGTTGCTGTTTGTATGATATAGCCCTAAATGGAAGTGGGTGAAAGAGATAGTTATAAATTATGTTCAATGCTGCTAGGGATTTTTGTCGACCAGACATATGCTTTGCAACAAATGGTTGGCTGGGGATTAGCTGTGTTATCTGCATGGTTGGAAGGAACGCTTGAGAATGAAGTTTGTATGTGGGAAATTGCTAAGGATGTATTTGGGAGAGGTTACTCAGGTGGAGGAAGCATGGGTGCAGTTCTTATTTGAGTTATTTTGTCACTAATAATGCTGTTTTGTGTAGTTTTGCTGTATTTTTGTCTGATTTTTGTCTGTGACATTTCTAAGTTTTCCTGCTAATCATACTGCTTTAAATGTGTATTTTGTATTTATGTGTAATACTTTATTTTGATAATTCGTAATGTTCTATTTTATATTTTAAACTGGATTGTAAACCACTTTGAGATTATTATTATTTAAATATAAAGCAGTATAGAAATGGATTAAATAAAATAAAGCTAGACATCCAGAAGGCCAACTGGATCTCTCTTATCTCTCTCTTACCTTGAGTAACACAGGCTCCTCATTCTTTTCCTAAAACTGGGGACTCAAGACAATATGTTTCCCAGTCCCCATTAGCAGGTACTGTAGTTCCTGGAGTGTTTTGCTCAGGCTTTTTGTTCTAAATCTTGAATGCTTCCCCATGGCATCACTGCACACTTACTATGTGAGACAGCCACAACAGCATCACTTTACATCAGTTCCTCCATGAAGGACACCCGTAGAGTGGCTGCCACTTAGACAAGAAGGTAGACAGATACACCTTTGGCAAGTGGTTTAACCCAGGGTTCCTCTTCCTGCCCATTTTTCTGGGGATACTGTTTCTGAACATCCCTTTCTTGTATTCACCACTCCACTGAGAATTAAAAGTCGGACTTACTGTGAAGCGTTCTGGTTAGCCGAGAAGGGAGCATACAACTCTGTCCTGTGAGTCAAACATGACTTGGGGATGGGAGGAGAATTCACTTCTGTGTTCGCCTCTGCAAGACTCCTCTCCCTTTATTTGCTTAGGAATTCATGACCATTACTCCTGTTTGGTACCTCTAAAGTTTTCTTGTTTTACTGATCCTCTTTTGTCTTTTAAAAGTTGGTACCAGTGTCGTTGCTGTTGGGAGGTTTCTCCTCAAAACTATGGCCAGCTTGGGTCTAGAGGAGGGGTTCCTCTTCCCAGGGCCAAAGAGGGGGGAAAGTCATTGTGTTGACTCTGCCTTCTAGTTAACCCTTTCTCCCAGTTCCAGTATATTTTGGCGTAGATCTTGCTCATTTTGTGTCACAGTTGTGTTCATCTGTCTGCAACCACTTATGTCTTATTAGCACATGTCTGTAATCCTTGTAGGTGAGGCCACCTGCCAACTCAAGACTGGTTTGGAAGTGCCTGATTTCTAGCAACAGGCACTTTTTCAGACCTTTGTATCTTTTGACATGCCTTTTTGGCTTTTGGGGTGGTTACTTCTGGCACTGTTGTGGAAGGGTTTGTCTCCATCTAGCTTTCTAGGTAACAAAATGTTCTAGCACTTCAGTTGTGATTCTGAACTAACCATTTGCCTTGAAGAGTGACTCCTGTGCTCAGATTTCCTTGAACATCTTTTTGGTTCTTAGTGAAGCACTTTACAGTGATCAGTGTTTTCAGTGGCACTTGAAGTTCTTAATAATCACCTAAGTATTCCCTCCCTAAATAAGTGCCTTGTTGCTGCTTGTTGTCAGAGAAAGGACTGGATTACCCTAATTACCTCTGCATTGACCCTGCCATTATTCTTAACCTTGCTACTGCCAATTGCACACTATCAGGATAAAGGAACTAGCCACGAATCTCTCTTCGCTCTAGATTCACTCTCCAGTGTGTTTCAGTGTAATAATAGAAGCACAACATATTCCTCAACTATTATTGCACATTTAATATTTTAACCTGATTTTTTTTCCAGGGGCAAGTCATTATTTGTTTGTGTTTCTACCAAAACGGTTCCCTCTGTCAAAGCTTGCAGACTCCCCACTCCATCTTTGCAGGTTTTTAAAAAACCAGTATCAGCCGTCTCAGTCCCAGTGTTAGAAAATCGTCAATATATAAGCTAAGCACCAAATTGCACTTTAAACCTAGGTTATGGTTGCCACAATGGAATGTCTAGGCCAGTGTTTCCCAACCTTGTGCCTCCAGCTGTTTTGGACTACAATTCCATCATCCCTTGCCACTGGTCTTGCTAGTCAGGGATGATGGAGTTGTAGTTCAAAAACAGCTGGAGGCACAAGGTTGGGAAACACTGGTCTAGGCCCCCCTTTCCTTGCAATGAGGTTTTTATTATTATTAATTTCATTTCTATACCGCTTTATATTTTAAAGAAAAGAATTCAAAAGCAGCTTAGAACAAATTAAAACATCAAATAAAACAATCCTGAATAAAACAAATTCAAGCCTCCTGGAATTATTTCACATATTTTGCTTTCCACATACTTATTTACCTGCTTAATTTATAGAGCTGCCCATAGCAGAAGTATTCTAGGAAGCCAGTGTGGTGTAGTGGTTAGAATGTTGGACTTGGACCTGGGAGATCAGGGTTCAAATCCCCACTCAGTCATGATGCCCCCTGAGTGACCTTGGGCCAGTCACAGCCTCCTAATCTACCTCACAGGGTCCTTGTAGTGATTAACTGAGGAAGGGGGTGAACCATGTACTTCTTGGAGAAAAAGGTGGACTATACATGCAATAAACAAGCTGTTCTGTATACCTGCTTAAGAAAGCTGGAGGGAGCAGCCAGAGGGAGATGTCAGTTGCCAATCTGGCATCCAGAGATCGCCATATGGTCGCAATTGGAACTGTGACAGTCGCAAAACGCATTGGCACCCGGGGGATTTCTAACACTGGCTGTAGCTTAGTGGCATAGCACACAATTTGTATTCTGAAGATCCCAGTTTCGAACTGAATCATCTCTAACCAGTGTGATCACAGGCTTCCTTGCAATATTACATGGATTTTGGGGGCACCTTTGATTTGCAAAGCCCAACATGGTTCTGGAGTGGCAGCACTGCAAGGGATCCTGGGTCCTGTCTCTTGAATTGCATGCTGCATCCTCATCTCCTGGCTATCCGAGACAAAAAATGCAAATCCTGTGCCCTTGGTGTCCATCAGGAATGCTTCAGAAGCATGGAGGCATGGAATGGAGCCTTAAATACTTGGGGTATACTTTTTATTTCTCAGATTTACTGAGGAAGGTGAAGAAGCTTATTCTTTTACACATTTTTTTGTTGCGAACAGCCTAAGCAACGTTATGAAACCGTGTTGTCTAGCTGACTGCTTTTGCAGGCTCACCCTGCTGTGCCTTTAGTCCAGTGCTGTTAAACTGCCTTGGGATTGATTTTAAATGAAGGCGCACAGTTAGATGCAAGGTCACTGCAGAGCTCCTCTAGTATTGATTTACAATGCTGCTGAGGGCTGCAAACTTTAACTGTCTCCACTGTTTCTAGCAGAAGGCTTTGTATGGGCTGGAATATGGGAACTTAATGCCTGCTGTATCTCCAAGCCACTTTCTACAGATTTTAGGACCTTTAATTTTAGGACCTATCAGCCAAAGTGTGACCATCTTTTTAGCCTTGTTGCGTTGTTGCGAAGAATGGTGGAGTTGTTCATTACTTTATTCAACTGTGTACTTTATTGGTAAAGGTTGATTAAGGCCAGTGGTGGTTGTAAAAGGTAAAGGGACCACTGACCATTAGGTCCAGTCGTGACTGACTCTGGGGTTGCGGCGCTCATCTCGCTTTATTGGGTGATGGAGCCGGCGTACAGCTCCCAGGTGACGTGGCCAGCATGACTAAGCTGCTTCTGGCGAACCAGAGCAGTGCACGGAAACGCCGTTTACTTTCCCGCTGAAGCGGTACCTGTTTATCTACTAGCACTTGGATGTGCTTTTGAACTGCTAGGTTTGCAGGAGCAGGGACCGAGCAATGGGAGCTCACCCTGTCGTGGGGATTTGAACCGCCAATCTTCTGATCGGCAAGTCCTAGGCTCTGTGGTTTAACCCACAGCGCCATCTGCGTCCCTACTGGTGGTTGTAGTGATTAAGAAAAACCTGTGACCTCCACAGTTCACTTCCAGTTGTTTAACCATGGTTAAGTCATCATGAACATCAGGTCTGTACTGTAACCAAGGAAGAAGAAGGTGAAAATGTCTGACCACAAGAGAGAAATATGGAGGCAATGCATTGGTGGATTTCTTGTGTGATTGTGGGTATCAGTGCACAAGGAGCTGTCCAAAATGCTCTGTACCTACCAGTCTGAATATATCTGTTCTTGCTCTCCTCTGATTTATGTTGCCATGTAATGTCTATATGTTTGGATGTCATGCCAATTCTGAGTGTTATTTAAACAGAATAATGGAGAGGAGGAAGAATAAAATTGATTGAACACAAAGGGAATTAGTAACGTAATGTTATGTTTTGTCAGGGCCTTATGCACCAAAGTCAGCTGTGAAATTATTTTTTACGATAGGCCTTATTGTCCATAATACAGTCCTAAATTCTACAAACCCATGAGAAGCTTATGTGCTAATTATTATTCTAACATTGACTGTAGTTTTTTGGGAACATTTTAAAATCTAAACTGTTTACCAGGGATGCACAAAGTTTGGCTGACCTTGGTATCCAGCCAAAATTCAGGTTGCCATGACCCCGAGGGCAAAGTTTTGTCTTTGGCATAATGATCTTTGACGGTGCTCTAAAGCACAGTGTGAGCTCACCAGCATGACAAGTGAATTTGTGGACCCACAAGTTCAACAAAAATCTTTAGAAACAAAAAATGGGTGTTGAGAAATAGCATCATTTGCATGAGGAATTTTTATAAAACAGCATACCCTTTTTTTGTTCAATTTATTTCAATTAAAACCCATGGACGCGTTCCCCTCCCCTTCCTATGTTGTACTCAGGACTGTGCCAGGGAGATGTCATGTTTCGTACTTACTGCCCTGCTTATCTCAACTTTGGGAAATTTATGAAACTGGGCATACTTGCACAAGTGGAGCAAAAACGTGCTGTTAATAAGGTAAACAGACCTATAATTACAGCCTTTAGTACATCACTAAATACACCTTGCATTCCCTGGAGGAAATAGCTTGAGCTTTTTAAGTCTCTGGACTGATGGTCCTGTGTGAAACTAAACAAATAATGAATTTGTAGAGGTAGCCATAATTCAAGGGCTAGAGTATCTCCATTGTATACAAAAGGTCCTAGGTCCAGTCCCCAGCTGGCAGAGCTTGGAAAGGCCACTGCCTGACACCCTGGAGAATCACCGTGAGTCAGAGTAGACAGTAATGACTTGGATAGACCAGTGGTCTGATTTGGTGTATGGCCGAAACTTTTGAATCCTTTACAGAAGCACAGAATTGCATCTTGCCAACAAGCGAAGGATGTATTCAAGTGACTAAAAATGATGCTCTTCCAGATTATTGCATGAATAACTCCATAAATCAAAACATTTACAGATACATGGTAATTAATTTACAACTGCAGAGATGCACACAAGCACCAGCAAGCATTTTGTGGAGACCAGCCCTGCTAGTGTATAAAGAAATGGAAATGGTAAGCAGTCATTACTCTGTGGCATCATATTGGATGGACTACAAGTGGTGATGATGATTGGACTTGAACCAGACTGCCATAAAACATGTACCTGTCTTCAGTGTGTTAAGTGATCTATTGCCAGCTAAAATAAGGTAGCAAAGGTGAATAAGCAGGCAGTTATGTGACTTTATGATAGTCAGCTGTAGCCCAGATTTTGAAACCTGATTTTCCTGAACTAGCTTTGAAATCTGAGAACAGAAGTCCTTCAGTTTTAAGGTGCATTGAATACTCTTCCCAGGCTTACGTATTGTGAAAAAGTGTTTTCTGACATTGATGGCTTCCTCTTTTTGCCTACTTGGGGGACAACCTAGGAACATAGAAATGTATTAGTTTGTGAACTAATTGGGTGGAATTCAGCGTCACACTATTTAAATTGTTCTGCCAATGCAAGTATTTCTGCTTGCCAAACAGAATTATCTCCCCTCTCTTTCCCCTGTACACTGTTCTGGGGGGGGGGGTCTGATTCCCACCAGCCAATTTGGGAGGAGGCCCCAGTTGTGCCAGCATAACTGGTTTTTCTGGCTCCCATTTAGCACAGCTATTCAGTTGAATTCAGCCCATAGAAATTGTTTAAGCCCTGAGCATAACCCACTCAGTGCCCTCCACTACCTGCACAGAATGTTTCCAGCCCTCTTAGCATCACTAGAGATACCTGTGACTGAGAACAATGGCAGCAAACAAAGACGGACTTCCTCATAACTTGCATCTGGAATTACAGTTTCCAGTTATGGCACTCTCATGGGTGGTGTACAGCAAGCATATTTACATGGTTTTGTCTACTCAGGCTGCAGGGGACATCAAACATCATCTTTAAAATCCTCTGACGGTTACTGTGATAGGTGCACAGTGTGGTTAGTTTAATGGCGTAAGTATATTGCACAGACCGGTGCTGCACCAACACACACTTGCATTTTCTTTAATCACCAAGTTTTGCTTTGGCTTCCTTTCTTTCTGCTTCAGGAGTTCTATGTAGGGAGAGTTTCTGCCATTCCCACTACTGACTGCCAGCATGAATTTTGACTATTTCTTCCCCAAGGTAAGGATGGTAGTCATTTTAAGAAGTCAGTTGTTCTGCTGTGTAATATTAAACTTAACTGAATATATGTTTTCTTCTCAGGTGAGGTCTCAAAGTGTGTGCTGTGCCTCCTCCACTTACTGATTCCCTATTGTAATCCAGGTTTGAACTCTTTCCCAAGTAAGTTCAAGATTTAGGGTAGTATCCAACATTAGTCATGCTCTGAACAGACTCATTGAAATGAATGGAAATTGTCAACTTAGTTCCATTACTTTCAGTGGGTTTACTTAGAACAGCTTAGTTGGCTACAACCTTTAATTCTAGATTCTTCTTTAAATATGAACTGATGAGATAAGATGGTGTCTAAAGCTTCTACTGTTTTTGTGTGTGCTACAGGCTACATTGTGACCAGTCTATCGGACTGCCATGTGACCACAAGAACCTCCATCAGAACCCTAGGTTCCTCCCTGCCATCCCACAAAACAAACAAACAAACAAACAAAAATGAACACCAGAAGAACTTCTGAAAGCAGGTCAACCGTTGCCACGGCGATCAGATTGTAACTGTGGACCTTCTATCACAGCATCTTTGAAGCAATGCATTTCAGTGGACAGCAGCAGAGCCTAGATCTAGGTGGCCTTCTCTGAAACAGCAGCTAAGCCATGGATACATCGTGTGGCATCTTGGGCACATCTGTATTGCTTAGGGTTAACTTATTATGCTGTAACTGAATAATAACGCAGGCGGCAAACATTTTGTGCAGGGGCTTCCGTTCCTAGCCCCGTGAGAATCGGTGGGGCGCAAATAAGCCTGCCCCACCCTGTTAATGTCCCTGTTCCGCCCTCTTCTGGGTCCGAAAGGACCTGCACATTGGCAGTCGCTTGTTGGGGGGGGGACGAAAGTGTTGCCGCCTTTTGTGCCTTCCCTCACAAAGTTATTGTGAGAATTAAAAAAAAATGAATATTATGAACTTACATTAGATGTGGGGCAAACTAAACGTGTAAATTTTAATGAAATGATACCAAGGAGATCAACCAGTACTAAAGCAGATGTAGCCACCAGCATGTATAATAAAACAATGTTCAATAAACATGTGCCAAAAACTATCTGTACAAGCTATACTTAAGAGCACTTTACAACACTTCAAAATACGTAAGAAGTACATTTTATATTGAGCCTTTGCTCCAATATTCTTCTGTGCAGTACCGTGTTTGTTTGTGTAATCATGGGAAATGACTTGTCAAGGGAGATTAAGAAATCTTGGTGGTGATAAATGAAAGTGGGCTTGTGGTTTCTTGAAACTCAACTTTAGTCTTGTCTTATTTTTAAGCGCTTATGGAGAAAACATGTAAATGTGTGCTGTTTCCCGAGTACCGAAAATATGATGATTTCATGGGCTTTCAGACACGCATAAAACATGCTTTTTCTCTCTCTCACCTCAAGGTTGGCCTTATTTGACTTTTAACCTACAGTCCTCTTGCACATCATGCCATCACTTCCTGTTTCTTGAAGCTGCTGTTTCTAATTTGCCCTTTTCTCCTTTGGAAGAACAAGATTAGGGCAGAAGATGCTATAAAAACAGGAAGTGGTTAAGCCATCTAATACAGTATGGCAGAGAGGGAAAAGGACAGGCTCTGAAGCCTCACTGTCTTTGTAGGTGGGTCATAGGAGCCTGGATTGTTGTGCTGTTGCCACATACCACATACGCACAAAGGCCTAGCTACCTCTAGCAAAGGCTGGGAGAATGTGGATAGGGTTTACACTGACTTTCTCATTTTGCATCAATCATTTGGTTTGTATGTCCTTTTTACTACTCCTGCAAATGCGTCAGATTTGGATAAATATTTTTTTATTGGCTTGTTTATTTTCTGGTTGAAGAATTTGGATTTGTTACAGAAATAGAATTCTGCAATATTGCCTTCCCCCAGCTCTTTTTATTAGATAAAACTTGTTGTACTAGACAGTTCTCTTCTTCACACCCTTCATAAATTTACTTGTTTGTGCATGCGTGCAGAGATTTTTCTTCGCTATATACTATACCTCGGACCTTCCTTGTTTCAAAGGCACACAACACACATGAACTAAAATATACCTGCATTTGCAATGTTTGTACCATAAACCACAGTGAAGAATAAACCATTGTACAAGAGCTTATACTAGTGCCGGGAAGGAGGGGGGGAGAGACAGGTAATGGCTGGTCTTTGGGGATGAACTAGTGTCTCGTCAGTTAGGTTGGAGAGGATGGCAATATTCTGCTAACGGCAATGATTTGGGGAAGATTTGAGTATCCATCGACTGATGCTCTGTATACAATCCAGCACAGTGATTTGCTGTCTTCAGTCTGCAGTAACCTAGCAACAAGCTACACACCCTCCTTGTGAAGAAAGCTAAAGGGCTCTTCAAACACATTATTGTGTATTGCAAGAGCCTTTAGTATTTTGAACAATCTCAGCAGTGCTATCACGTTGTATCCTCATGGGCTGGTAGACATTTGTGAACCTGCAGCATCATAACCTCTACTCTAGAAGCAAAAACTAAGCTCACTAGAGCTGTTGCATTACGTAAGCAATGATTGTCAATTCAAGGTGGAGGCATTAGCCAGAGTTCTTGCAGTACTTTGATCAATAGTTCAAAATACATAGAATTGACACAGATATAATAATACATAAAGTTGTATGAGAGAGAAATTGTCGTTTGTTTTTCCTTCCTTCCTTCCTTCCTTCCTTCCTTCCTTCCTTCCTTCCTTCCTTCCTTCCTTAAAGAGCGTGTTGTAGATATAGATGAAATCCAAACACACCATTCCCTTTGTTATATGGGTACCAGCTTCCCTTTCTTGAAACTTTCTGGGTATCACAGGACAGAGGCAGTCGGAGGGTGAAGTTCTGGATTTGAATTTATCTCTCTTTGATACCCTGCCTCTTAACCCAACTGCAAGGTAGAGGAATACACTTCCACACTAGAGAAGGTGGCTAGTTCCAATTCTCAACCACAACTGTTCACAACTGAATTATTGCCACGGTCCTTTTCAGCATCACTATTATTTAGCAATTTTTATTCCAGTGTTTGGTTCTCAGAATCCTTTTAAAAAAGCAGAACAAGTGAATATATGTTCGATATGTTTATGCCAGGATTTGACATCCACTTGGTGATCTCCATTTCTATAAGCATGGTTGGATTTACAAGATATGACTGCAGTTCCAAGATACTATTGGGTGTAATCCACTGCCCACATCACCTACTCCACAATAAGCCAGTGGATACCTACGGACGCAGTTCAATAACATAATATAGCCTTATGCCTGCAGCCATTGAATGTTTTTGGTGATCCTCTCACGGCAGGAAACTGATACATATTCTTCTAGCAATTCAAGCAGTTTGTAGTTTTACTGTTTTTGTTTCTTTTGGGTGTTAATGGTGGGAGGGGGCACAACTGCTTCCTGGTGTGTTTGTGTAAGTGTAAGAAAGAAAGGGGACAGGGTTCTTGAGCCGGGAGGCAGAGCACTGACAAAATTTCAAAAAGCAAACAAACCCATCACTACAATATAAGATGCAATTTGTTCTGCCTCAAGTTCATAGTTCTGGTGCCAGTGAGGGTTAAGGATGGGAGCACAGCAGTAAGCCTGCTGTAGAACCGTGTAGCCTTGTCGCCTCTTCGTAGACTGTCTCCAGCTATTAGTAGAGGGACCAGATCTTCACTTAGCATTATTGTTCACAATGGGTAGCACCCGCTCTTTTGCACAACAGTGAGGGGCAAAGCAAACGTGTACCTGCTTTTTATCAGCCCATTTTTAGCTGTTTCTAGATTAATTAGCCCAGTGCAAGATATAGCTGCAATAATGTTTTTCAGGCTTTATAATATTTGAAAGTATTTTAATGTGCATAACTGTGCGTGTAGCCGTGATACATGAGGCATACACATTTTGTGAAATGTTTGTTTTGTATAGATGTCTTGCTTGCTGTATCTCAAATGCTTGATTATAAGAGCATTAAAAGTCACTTTCAAAGAGGAGGAAACGAGTTCTCCCTTGTGGAATGGACCATATCACTGGATACATCATCAGCCTTGATTCTTAAAAAATCATGATTTGCAGCTGTGTGTTGAAAGTGGCGATTTTAAAAATCAATTAACTTAAGCAGACTACAGTTTTGTAAACCAGAACAATTTACAAATTCTCCCTTTTTTGCTTGTTTTAATAGGTCTAAGAGGGCTAATCAATCTTGGGAACACATGTTTTATGAACTGTATTGTCCAAGCACTTACCCACACTCCACTACTGCGAGATTTCTTCCTCTCCGACAGACACAAATGTGAAATGCAAAGCCCCAGCTCATGTCTGGTCTGTGAAATGTCTACACTTTTTCAGGAGGTGAGCCATCCTTTCCGCTTATAACTTGTACATTCACACATTTGTAACATTACTTTTAAATTTTGGGTTCAGATTAGGTTCTAAGACAAACTGCGGTTTGCTTTAGTTGAGAACCTAAACTGTGGTTTAAGCTTTGTAATGTATAACAGGCAAACTGAGGTCTAGAGCTTCATTTTTTGTCCCCTCCACACTTAGCTTTGTAAGTTCACTCCCCTCTCTATGGTGCGGGAACCTCTTGAGTTAGTGCAGTCAGTGGCCATCGCTATAGTTTGTCTACTCATTTAACAAACTGGTTAGCACAAATTGTAATTCTTTTTAAAATATATATTTTATTGAAAGATAAAAAGTACATAATTACAAGTGCACAGAGTAAGATAAGATGCAAAAAGGAAGAAAAAGAAATAGCACCCGCATGGAAAACAAATAGCACAAATTCAAAAACGCATTTGAAAGCATGATTTGTAATTTGTTTTACTAGCTGATCACAAAGCAGAGTTTGTCAGTTCAGAAATCATGCTAAACCATCTTTTACCATTATTTATTTAAAGCATTTCTGCTTCTCTCTTCAGCTGAAAAGACTTCCAGAACAGCTTACACACAATTAACAAAAGCAAGATAGTCCTTGCCTGCAGGGTGGCAATCTAAAAGACATGACATAAAAAGAAAAGGGGATGAGGAGGGAAAAGGAAAAAAGAAATCTTAGGCAAGGCAATAGTTCTTAAAGAGTAGGTCTTACAAATGATGAGATGGAATGAAAGCTTTTCAGGGAGCTGAAGAGCCAAATATAGCTGGTCTCTCAGCAGAGCCTATGAAGTAAACCTTCTCCAATGGCTTCTGCCAGGTGACAAGGGAGTGAATGCAAAATGGAGCTGTTCTGTTGTGTTGTCTGTCTATTGAGATAGAGTGTTAATATGGTTAGAATTGCATAAAAACTGAATAGGGTTTACATCGCAATGAATACTTAGAACATCTAAGTATTGTTTCATTAGCTTCTTGCCATAGGAGAGAAATATGAATATATTTATGAGTGTGCATGTATGTAGATGATGGATGATTTAGTCTTCTAATACAAGAATGCTGTTCTGGAAATGTGGTGTTTCTTTCCATAGGACATCTTGGTGTACAGTTAGAAATGGACTTTTTGCACCTCAGATTGCAGCCCATCCTTAACCATGTCTTTCATATTCAGACATACTGCTTAACCGTGGCTGCTCTTTGTGGCCTCAGTGTGCAGGTGCACACATGGGTTTCTGTGACCGAACAAGGCCTCATTCAGAAACTTTTAAAGAAGGCTATCTGTAACACAGGGCAGCCTAAACAAATAATAATAATGTAGAATTTGTTCATCAAATCAAATGAAACAGGAATCATGTAGTGCCCTTTTCCTGCAGCCTCTTGTCACCAAATAAATTAATTTAGTGGCTTGTTCCCAAGGGAGCTTTAGTTAGTTCGAAATGTTCTTTTTTTTTGACAGTTCATCTCTGAAATAAAGATGTATGAGGAACTAGAATAAATACAAGCATTTGTTGGCAGTGTGGAAGACTTTTTGGCTTATTTTCCATCCATATTTGTGTGGTTATGCCAAGAAACTTTGGGGGTACCGGGCAAGATTGTAGGACATTCTTACCCATAATTAAAAGAATTAATTGGCACTGGTGTTAACCACAGTTAAGGTTGATCAGGCTCCCTGCTTCACCATGCTTCTTAGTCAGGTATATCCCTTAACCATGACCAAGGTGAGAAGGTGAAACCCACTCTCCTAAATGGAGGTCATTTCCACAGCCCTCCACTGCAGTTGACACTGCAGCCACGCTGACAAGCAACACACAAGAGAGATAAATGTCCTCTTTAGGCAGCTGCCATTCTGAAAATGGAGACTGGATAAAGATGATAGATTCAAACAGTGATTCCTAAAAGGAAGCTTTGAGAAATTAAGCCTAAGATTGGAGTATAGGACCTTCCAAGTTCTTAATCCTGCTGGGCACGCTGTACTCACTATGGTGAGACAGCGTTGGGCTCTTGCTACACACAAGCTTAACCAGGTTATTGTTTGATTACCTTGGGATAAAAATCTTGGTGTGCTGTATATGTGTGTGTTAGCAGTTCTTTGGCACCCATTCCCGGTCTCTTTTCACCTTTCATTTGGCTCTCTTTTCTAGTATTGAACTGCTTTTCCACATCAAAGGGTAGAATCTATTTTTGCCTCTTTGTCTGCTTACTGTTATTCATTCAAAATATTGTACATGAAGAACCGCATCCAAACTGAAGTCCTTTGGGGGGGAAGGGGCTAAAGGAATGTAGAGGCACTATTGCTGCACCCACAAGCATGGCTTGTGCTCAGATACAGGTTAGGTACATTTTCATCCTCTGCATGGTAATAGCCAGTGGTTAGCGCAGGCTGCTTCTTAAGATTCCTTTTCATCCTAATGAAGCACTAAATAATATAAAATGGGTAGCTGCAGTGAAGTAATTATGGAAAGTGCTACTGGGTAGAGTGACCGGATAGTGCCAAGGCTAATTGTAAGAAGTGACAAATTTTATTGCTGCAGTTCCCTGAATTATGTTGTCACAGCAGCAGTGTCAGCAGATTTCAGTTACCATACCCGGGCTCTAGTCCCTTGGTGACATTCTCGTTGGCATCTCAGAGTTGCCTATTGATCCTCTTATAAAAAAAGTGCTTGAGCATTGTTGCATTGCTGCAGTGTAGTTTCATGCCAAAAATACGGGTAGCTGTGCAAGAAAACAAACTTTCCTTCTTAATTGAATTGCATATAAGGTTATATACAACAAGCTGTTACTTCCCCATCTATCCCTCTCTAAAGATGGCTGAGCAAGATGTCTACTGCCTGCTATTATTATTAGTAGTAGTATTAGTAATTTAATTTATATGCTACCCTTTATCCAAAGATCCCAGGGCGGTGCACAACAATAAGAACATAATTTACAGTCCCAGTAATGAACAGAACCACATTCACCACAAGAAAACTTGAATAATGTAGAAAGGTGTGCATGCTGTGTGTCAGTTGCAGATGTATTAATTTTATGGCTTGAAGGCTGTAAAATGGATGGGGAACCTTTTTGACTGCATGGGCCAGACCCTTATGAGGATTGGCCCTACAGGCTAAATTTGATAGGTGGGCAAGATTGCCCACATGTCAGTCACCTGACTTGATGCCAGGTGATTTGACACTTTGAAAGCCCGAAGGCAGCATGGCACATCTAAAGCAGAGTTGTTGTTGTTCTTGTTGTGGTTGTTTTAAAAAAAGACAACCACTTCATTTTACCAGGGGATTCAGTGCAAGCCCTTTCATCATCTTTGTAGATATTTGCATTGAAACACCTGTTAAAAGTGAAGGGGTTGTGCTCCATTTTAGCAGTGTTACTGTGCAAGACCCTTCCTGGTCAAAAAACTGACCTGTACAGCCAAACTGAGCAGGGTTTAACCACAACTCATCAGCTGATGATTGGGATGGGGGTGGTTTGATGCTTCTGCATTGGCTGTGCACAGCATTCTGCCATGGGGCATTGGTGCGCACAGTCAACATAGATTTGAACGCCACGCCCCCAAACCATCAGCGGATATCACCCACCCATTGGAGTGATGTCTGCAGTTTTTTTTGGGGGGGGGGGAGAAATGCCTTTCCAGCTGCCTTTTCCCATGAAGATGGAACTCTCTTGCAGAGCACTTCATTGCTTATTTGATTGGGTACTTTCTTCAACCTTGCCCTTAGAGTTGCACTGTTGTTGGCATCCATCTGTCTCAAAAGATAATGGAGTGTAGCTCCGGGGGTGAAGTCAAACTGCTGTGTTAGCAGCAGTGAAGTGACCTCCCCAGTGCACAAAGCCTGGGCGGTGTGTATGGAGGGCCAGGAGTTGCCAGAAGGAGGCATCCACAGCACCAGCCAACTGTCATAGGGACTCTACTCTGGGTTTGTGTAGGGTTTACTCCTTAGCCTTTTCTTCTCCCAAAGATACCCCGCAAGACAGCAGATGTTTAAGATCAGCAGAAGGTTTAAGACCTTCTTGACCATTAGACCCACTATTGGTCTTGTCTGCTCAATCTACCAGATCTTGTCTGTGTGGATTACACAGGCCTGTTCAACATTACCGCACAAACTCAAGTATTCCTGGCCCATAGTAGAGTATTTCATTAATTTTTTGCTCTGCAACTACAGCCTAGCACACCCTGAATCGTGTTGGCTGCTAAGGACAAGACCAGCTGATGAACTGGACTGAAAGTCCAAGTTCTAGGGCAGCCATGAATTCTGTACCAGATAAAAAAATGCAGAGTAAAGGCTAGCTCTGACTTGACATTGCATATCCATGTGAGAAACAAACCCAAGATTGTATTTGTTACAGGGATGAAATATTCCAAGATACTATATCAGAAATGGTTTAGGTAACCTAAAACATTTCTGATATGGTGGTAAATTGCTTGGGATGGTGGGTTAGATATGGACACAGAGGTTGAAATTCTGAACTCGCTTACCATTGAATACAATAGTTAATCAAAGATGGAAGTGAAAGCTTCTGAACTTACCTTTTCAGCTGCGAAAAGGCTTGGACAGAGGTTAGGCACATTCTCATACCACTAAACAATGGTTTATTATTGCATTCAAACCATCCCAATGAAAAATATTTGACCATTTCTTATATTCTTTTTCCGAGCAGTTCTACTCTGGGCACCGATCTCCTCACATTCCATATAGGTTATTGCACCTGGTATGGACGCATGCACGGCATTTAGCAGGGTACGAGCAACAGGATGCACACGAGTTCCTCATTGCTGCGTTAGATGTGCTACATCGACACTGCAAAGGTAAGGCTTTCTCCTGGCAGTTTTTCCCATTATGGCCTCTTCTCAAACGAGAGCAATTTCAGCACTAACCAGGTTTCCTTCTCCATCTAGTATATGAGAAGCATTTCCCTTTTTACACTTTAATTACAGGTGTAATAATACAATTTTCACTTGGATCCATCTGGCCACATCATGTGGGGCACATAGAGCTTTTAAAACTGGTCTACCTCACATAGTTGAACCCCTTCAGTTTTTACCTTTACAGATATATTAGGGCAGGGGTAGGCAACCTAAGACCAGTGGGCCGGCTGCGGCCCAATTGCCTTCTCAATCCAGCCCATGGATGGTCCGGGAATCAGCGTGTTTTTACTTGAGTAGACTGTGTCCTTTTATTTAAAATGCATCTCTGGGTTATTTGTGGGGCCTGCCTGGTGTTTTTACATGAGCAGAATGTGTGCTTTTATTTAAAATGCATCTCTGGGTTATTTGTGGGGCATAGGAATCCATTCATTATTATTTTTTCTAAAATATAGTCAGGCCCACCACATGGTCTGAGGGACGGTGGACCGGCCCACGGCTGAAAAAGGTTGCTGACACCTGTATTGGGGCATATGGAGCAGCATTTTCCTTTAAGTGATAATTTTCTTTCAGTTGAATAATACACCTTTTTGCTGTTGCTGCTGCTTTACATATTGACAGGTGCAAGCAGGTGGTAATTTCATCCCCCCCCCCCTTCTTGCCAGATGCCATGGGAAGCCCAGTGAGTGGGTAATACCTTTCTGTGTTGCTGTGAACAAGCTTACAAAATAGTCTTTTGAGACCCCCTCCTCGCTGAACCTAATTGACTTGGGTAATTGAAAAGGGAGCAATCTTATCCTCCTGTGGGCAGAAATGGCTGTCTATTAAGCATATCCAGCAGGGATGTTGCCTGATGGACAGTGAAAATGTGATGAGGCCATTTGTTGGCTTCTGTCTGAGGACCAGAAATCCTAAAGAGAAGGAAATGCTTTTCAGATGCAAGGATTAAGTCTTGTTTCTTTGCACTGAAGCAGAATCAAAGTGATCCTCTTAGATAATTAATAGAAGCAATAATTAAATTTTAAAATTATATAAAATCATTACAAAACAAGAGAAATCAAAGCAGCAAGGTGATACTGTGCAGCTTTTTTCTTTCTATCCCACTCCACAACTGAGTCAGAATGCAACTTTGCATGACTTCTTTTTAAAAAGGAACAGAGAACCTATTGTGTGTTAATAAGAATTCAGCGGACTGTGTCTTATGGCTGAAAGTTAAATCCCTTTTGATTGACAGTTGTTCCATAGTAAAATAGTTCACTTGTAAATGCTGTGCAAATTTATTAATTCACCACTAAAAATAATGTATTCCAAGCTGGTCTTGGCCCTTCTTACAAATCAGTGGGATTTCTAGCTTCCCCAGTTCCAGTGATACGGGGACAGGTAACAATGCTTTTTAAAAAGGTTAAAAGCAAAATATAGTCCAGCAGAGAGTTTAACTCTGCCCATCCCAAATCAGCCCAATGCAAAAATATCTTCTTACAAAACTTGATTTTGTCATCCTGCTATTATGTCTTATGTAGATGCATTTTTAATGTTGCCTAATGGAGTATTCACTGTGGTTGACTTTGGTGGCAGTGGGTTACTCTGATAGAATTAGAAGATGAGTCTATTTTTTAAAATCTGCTTACCTGCTTAGTGCTTTCAACTGGTTATTTCTGGTTTAATATATTGCAACCCACTTGCAGCCAGGGAAGATATGCTTTTTCAAACTATATAAGAGATTGGAAGTGGGTCATGGTTTTCTTCCCTCCAATAAAGCAGATTTCCCCCACCTACCTTAATGCCAGTTTGTAGATGCTGTGTCACAGGTAATAGTTATGGCTAGATGGGTTCCCTCATGATCTAGGATTGTTAACAAAGTTCATCTCTTGGTCAAGCATTGCACCTGACTAGGCTTACCTGCAGTTTAAGTCAGTTTAAACATATCCCTTACCCCTCCTGGCTTTAACAGTGATTAGATGATACTTTGCTCTTATCTGTGGTTGAGAGAATCCCACTTGACTAGAACATGAAATAAGAAACTTAGCCTCGGCTCTTACATTAGAACTTGCCTTTAGCTTATTGAACACGGTAGGGTAACCAGATTATTCTACAGAATTTATACTATGTTTAAAGCTGCTGATGCCTTCTTTTCTTGCTTAACCGTACTTTGGCAATTTCACTTAGGTAGTGCATATATGATTGCATGTGTGGTTTTCTTAAGTGGAAATAACCATTTTGCCAGGAAATGCTTGTTGTTTCTAAAAGTACATTTGTCGCTCACTGGTCCTCTAAAGTGGGGTTAAGTAGTCATTTTCACTAACCACCTCAGCTGTGTGGCCTATTCTGAAATCAGTGCTTGAATTAGGCCAAGTCAAACCATTCTTCTGGTTAATAATAATAGATTATCCTCCCACACTACTATGGGCTCTGTCAGAGTACATTTTGGATTAACTGACTCTCCACTCTGCATTGATTGAACTCAGTGCAACAGGAACAATAATATAGAGGTAACTTTCACACTTGGTGGGTTTTTTCCCCTTTCTTTCCATATTCTGCAGGCACCCATTTCCTTTCACCTTGGCTTTCTATAATAGCAAAGAGGCCAAGAACTTTCTATACGTGCTATTGCTGGTATGTGAAGCCCTTTATGCACACCTGCATACATTACGTAGGGATTTGTTTCAAAGTCTGTTCCATTTTATTTTATTTTGTTCAGGTGACGATAATGGGAAGAAAGCCAACAACCCCAACCACTGTAACTGCATCATAGACCAAATTTTCACAGGTGGACTACAGTCCGATGTCACTTGTCAAGTCTGCCAGTAAGTATGATGGAGTTAATTAATTTCATTTTAAAATACAGAATAACTCACTTGACGTTGAAATGATGAGCATGGAATACACAAGATGACATAGCCAACGCTCTTTTATGAAAGAATGTGTGCTTCACACTCCCCTGGTTTAAAGAAAGTAGATCTCTTCTTCCCCACCCGCTACTGCCCTGGCGTCCAGACTGGAACTGCCAGAATTCTGTACCACTAAACCCCATGGACTACTTGTTCCAAGTGATCGTATTCCCACTGCCAGTATATCTCATGGGGTGGCTATTGCTGTAAATTCCGCAAAATTCTATGCCCTTTAATAGGTTCTTAAAGGTCCATTTAAAGAAAGTTGACAATAACAGAAGCTGTTTTGATGGAGGTGCTTTCTGTAGTCTGAGCACCCTCTAGAGGTGAAGTACTACCTCTCCCCACCCCCACCCCCCTCCCAAGTAAACAAAGCCGTGAAGTAAGGGCTGTTCCACACATTCAATTTTGAGATAAGAGGCACCATAAAAGGAGCTCTCCTAATTTTTACATGGTTTAATTGTCTTGTGAACACATTTTTAATGTCAATATCAAATGATACATACTTTTAAGAAGGAACAATTTTTCAGAATCCATTGACTTACAGGATTGTTAATATTTTTTATCATTCACTTTTGTCATGTGAATCATTCCAAGTCCTTTACTGCTTAAAAAATGGATGTGCCAACCATTCCTATGTATCATTTTTGCCCAAACTGTTGCTTAGTTTATCCATTTGATTGCAGTCTCTCCTCTTCCTCCCTAGTGGTGTTTCCACGACGATAGACCCATTCTGGGACATCAGTTTGGACTTGCCAGGTTCTTCTACCCCATTTTGGCCTCTGAGCCCAGGCAGCGATGGCAGTGTGGTGAATGGGGAGAGCCACGTGTCAGGAACCACGACCCTCACAGACTGCTTGCGAAGGTACAAACTGTGGCAGACGGCCTTTAGCAAGGAGCAATCTTAACTCCCCCTCCTGCTGTCTGCAGACCAGCAGTTTTCGGGCAAATGGCCAAGGAGCAAAACAGCACCTCAGCTGCAGTTATTAACTGCTGAATCATCTTGCAGAGCAGTTCGGTTCACTTGCAGAAAAAGGAACCAGGACAAATCTAAGCATGTAGCATAAACTGACAAACTGGTAGGTAACCAAGACTCAAGTGGTCCCACCTGATGACCACTGGTTAGTTTCCCCATGGATAGGCTTCAGCACTGCTTATCACACATTGTTGTAAGTATAAACTGCGGAAAATACGGCTTCATTTGGCACAAAATATGCTCTCTCGGAATAATCGGCAGAGAAACAGATGGCTAAAAGAGTCTTAGAGCTTGATCTCTCCTCTTCCAAGACATTTTTAATGTAGATTCTGTTGAATTATGGACTTCACTATATCTGAGAATCAGGGGCACACCTTGACATAGGAATATTGCTCCTGCTCCCCACAAGACTTCCAACCACTCCTTTACATTCTTGTTGTCGGGACAGAAACAGAGTCTCTCAAGGGACAGGGAGGGGTTTATGATACTGGGGAGAAGGAATAGGTGGGCAAAACAGCCAGTTTTCCCAGTACCCTTTGGGCAAAGAATCTAGTACTGTCTCCTTCCTTGTCTCTTCTGTACCTCTTCTTCAGTTCTTGTAGTGCGGAACAGCTAGATGTGAGAGAAGTTTCCAGGCAGCTAATTCAGCACTGAAGAACAGAGGTCCAAATGACAGAGTTCATTGTGATACTGTACGCAGTGGGGAAAACTGAGTTTTAAGATTTTCATGGCAAAAGAAAATTATTTATGTTATATTACCTTACATTTGATAATTGGCCAGGCTGAAGGAACTTGATCCTCACAGAGATCCTATGTGAGGAAATACACAGAATCTCCTCCTCCCCACCAAAAAAACACGTTTCTATAAATGGAACAGGATTTTTAATTCTGTCAGCTAGGGAAAGCAGGGTCTCTGTGGTGGGTGATGAAATAGCAAATGCAGGGTTCCCTTCCCACCTCTAATTACAAAGATTTAATGGAAGTGGGTTTTCCAATTCTCATGTAGGAATCAACCCTAAAGGGGGGAGGGGCAAAGTCAGCCAGATATAGGGTGTATATTTCTGCCATCTTGCCCTTAAAGCTGGGGTAGGGAACCTTTTGCAGTCCATGGGCATCTTTCAACCATGGCCCACCCTTGGGTGGGGGGCACCTGTCAGTGCTGAGAATGGCCAAAGTGGGTGCTTGCACATGGACATACCAACACCCCACCCCCCAGCTGATACATGCAGATCAGCTGTGAAGTAGGGCGTTAATTACCTTTTTTAAACCTTCACCTTATTTACCTCCCTCTCTCATGTGATGAGCAAGGAGGAGGAAATTTTCCATAGCAGCTCTGGACTGAGCAGAGAATTTATACCCCTCTACCCAACACTACAGAGGGATGAATCACGGGTTATGCCTGCTTGATTCTGCATTTCATTATGACACAGCCACCACCAGAAAGTTGGGCCACTGGGGAAGGCCTGGTGAGGCTAGAGGTTTCCTGCCACTATTCCAGATGAACTTAAGCAACAACAGGCAACATGTGGCTAATAATGTAATAACATATATATCAACTTATAAAATAAATCAATATTCTGTGAACAAAATTAGAGAAGGTAGTCAATCAATATCACTAAGGCAAACAAGCCTTTCAATAGTCCCAATTCTGCAGTCATGCAATACTAGAAGCTCAAAGTGTAGATGATCACAGGAGAGAAAAGATAGGACTCTTTCATAGGAGCCCATATTCCATAGCCATCTTTGGAACAACCAGAAGCCTGTCAAAATAAATAAGTCCATATTGTTTGCAAGCGATGTTTCTGTCATTCCGATAGCCTTACAGTCTAGCAGTAATGATCAACTGCAGTTATTGGGAAAAGCTGGAAATGTACTGAAGACGGGAGCAGCAAAATCTGTCTACCAAGACAGTCTTTAGATTTTAGCTCAACAATGCCGTCCAGCGTTGCAGCTGACAGCTTCCAGAGCAGTTAAAAGAGGAAGAACCATCCTAGTTTATTCCTTGCTTTAGGATTGCCAAGTCTTTCATAAAGAACTATGAAATGTATGAAGAGGATAAAGCCAGCAGGACCCATAACTTCACCTACCTTTTTGGATGCTGCCCATTGATTGCTTTGTTATGGAAAAAGAAAACATTGCTTCACCTTGCCTAACATAAGCTGCTTCTCTGTACATGTAAATGTAACGAAGACCAGCATATGAGGAGAGTCCAACAAGAAGCAAGTTTTGTTCTGGTTTCAGAGTAGGCACACTATTCCAGCCGTCCTGATGATTGTACCATTGAACAATGGAGCTGAGAAATTAATCCAGGCCTAGACTATTGAATTTGTTAATCAGCTATATCTCCATCCCTTTTTGAGAAGCCACCTACTGCTCAAGGAGATTCAAAAGGTCCTTGCCAAAGAATTTGTCCAGCAACATACATGAATTTGTAGGCAATACTGCATGGAGTTTCTTGACCTCCAAATAAGGTGGTGGGTCAGAGGAGTCTTACATGTCTTAGCAAGTTCTGCATGGTTACAATCCAGGAAATTCTCCCCACTGTGTTCTGCAGCTTTCCATTTCAATAATGAGAGTGAGGAGGTGTTTCCATATATCTCCTTGGCTTAGTCCTGACATCATATTATTATTCATAGCTCGGGTTGAATGCTGCAGAAGTCCTTCTGTTTAGGCTTTCCGCATCAAGACATCACTAAGCAGTTCTCTGCTGTAGCTACAGGAAAGTCACTCCAAAGAGATGCTCCACTGCTGTATGATGGTGATTTTCTGCTTTATTCACTACTTGTGTTAGCAAACAAATATCCATACTTTCCCCTTCTCCATGTCCCTGCTCACTTGTCAGGATTCTCAAGTGCACATTGCAAAACAAGTCATCAGATTAGTCAGTTCTATGAAATACTTGGTCCTCAGTTCTCCTCCTTCATAGTAGCTAAGAATATAAGAACAGGCCTTCTGGATAAGATTTAGGCTCCATCTAGTCCAGTATCCAATGCCCAACAATGGCTGTTGGGATGCCTCTGGAAAGCAGGCTTGAAGGCAACAGCTTTCCCCATTGTATTCAGAGGTACACGGCATCTGAACATGTGAGATTCTATTTAGTTGTCATGACTTAAAACCATATCTATACCTTTTAAGAGATCATCTGCCCTTTTAAACAGGTATCTATGCCACTATCATTACCACGTCCTATGGCAGTGGACATCAGAACTTTGTTATATAGAGCAGCACTTCCTTAATTTTTTAAATAAATAATTCCACACATTCTATTATGCCCCTTTCGTAATAATTTTTCCCAAACTTAACCCGCCTCCCCAAAGGCTTTAGTCGTTACTTAGGAGGTTCTCAAACTCCTAGTCATGTTAGTTACTCCCCCGCCCTTTTCCAGTATCCTTTTGAGAATGGGTGACCAATGCTGTACACAGTATTCCAAATGCACCCACACCAAATTCTTCTATAACAGCATTATGATGCTGGCCACATCATCATTAGCCTTCACATGAAGCCACTTCAGCATTGGCTAGAGGAGTGGTTTTCAACTAGTGTGCCGAGGCACCCTGGGGTGCCTTGAATGATGGTCAGGGGTGCTGTGGGCAACACTGGCCTCTGTCCCTCTTTCCTTCCCTCTCTCCTGTAATGCCCACTCACATCTCTGCCTCTCAAAGGCTTTTGCACAGCTGTTTGTTGTAGCAGCCCTGCTGCTGCCGCCACTGCTGCCTCCCAAGGTGAGGTCCTGGCCTCACGTACACCTTTGACCAGTCTCTGTTGGGCCGCTAAGGCTGGGGGCATTCTCTGCCTAGGCCCCTGTGGGGCAGCATGAGGAGGCACCTCTTTGTTGGGAGCGGGGCAGCTCAGAGACCAGGGATGGCAGCAGCAGCTGCCCAGAGTACTCCCAGGTAGAGAGGAGAGGAGGCTGAGGGAACACTCCACAAGGGAGGGTGTTTGAAAAAGGGTGAGAGGCTGCCAGCTCTGCACGCAAGGGGTGACATAACTGGGCTCCTGAGCCTCACAGGGGTGCCACAGAAAGAAGGCAGTTAGTCAAGAGAACCATGGACTCAAAAAGATTGAAAACCTCTGGGCTAGAGAATGCAAGGAATACCAAGTTCTAGCTGGGTAAATCTAAAAACTTTGACATTCTATACCTGCCTACCTTCAGCTGAGTATACCTGGTAACTTTTGGACAAAGCAAGTTCCGTAAGACTGGTTCATGCATAACATTAAACCACAGCTTAGCTCTATGTAGACATGCCTTAGTAAGTCTGAGGGAAGTGCCAGGCTTGCACTTGGAAACCTTGCTGCCACCTCCTCCTGCGCAGCCAGAAGGACAACTACTGAGATCACTTTCCATTTCAAAGATCTCATTGTTACCCATGAGCCAGGAATCATGGGTTAAAACAGACAGAGGTTAGATGCAAACTTCATACCATAAGTTATCATACTGACTTGTTTGTTATTAACCAGGAGGCTTGAATCACACGGAACACTAAGCCAACATCTTTGAAAACTCATCAGAAGTTGTCCTCTCAGTTGCGCAGGAAGAGGAGAAATGAGGGAGGAGCATGCAAGCCCAATGCTTTGCTCAGGCTTTTTGATACTCCTTCACATAGCACTAAATATTGTGTTACCTCAAAACTGCACTAGCACATTGCCGAAAAAGAGTAATTTTATTATATCCATCAAGTCGTTTTCTGCAGGTTCATGGGTTAACCTCATTCTCAAGTTCCACGGTGTATTGGGCAAACACATTTCATTATTTGGGACAGTTACTTCAGAACAGAAATACAAGTGATCAGTTTAGAGAAGGTCTTCAGGCTTTAAGTGCACCTTGTCACAGTTTCAGAATCAGAAGAGTTAAAAAAAAATCCCTCCATATAGAAAGGGGCTCTAGCCTGGTCATCTTGACATATAAAGGGAAGGAGGAACATTCAGTGTGAGAGGCCCCATCTCTAGTCTGAAACGATACATTGCAGATGCAGGCTTTTTATTAAATTTGTATACTGCCTTTCATCCCTAGATCTCAGGGTGGTTCACAACATAGAAATACAAGATAAAAACACAAAATATATAATAAAAACAAAAACAAACGAATAATCCCCCCCCCCACTGTTTCATTGAGAGACGGGACTGCATCTGAGTGGTGTCTTACAGTTTGGACATTATAAAGGCTTGTATGAGAAACCAAGTTACAGGGAACCAGGCAGAGGGCCTTCTCGGTAGTGGCACCCACCCTGTGGAACACCCTCCCAACAGATGCCAAAGAGAAAAACAACTACCAGACTTTTAGAAGACATCTGAAGGCAGCCCTGTTTAGGGAAGCTTTTAATGTTTAATAGACTATTGTATTTTAATATTCTCTTGGAAGCTGCCCAGAGTGGCTGGGGAAACCCAACCAGATGGGCGGGGTATAAATTATTATTATTATTATTATTATTATTATTATTATTAGTGCATCTTTAAAGAATGAGTCAGGAAAAGTAACAACCAAAGTAGCCTGGTTATGAAGTCGGGAATTAAAATTTCAGCAAAAGTAAATTCCAGACAAGGTAGATAATGTTTGGTAATACTAAGCATATTTTAAAATATACTTAAGTTAAAAGAAAGGTAATTGTTGCATCTCTTTAGGAAAGAGTTTGCGTACATGTGAGATACAGGTGACTTCTTTCTGGATAAGGAAAAAGGCTTTGTGAATGTAATTTTATCATGTATGTCACAGGGCGTTTTAAACATCACAGAAACCAGATGAAGGAAATTAAGTAGTGGAGACTTTATAGATGTGAGAAGGCAAAGGCTGTTTTAAGAAGAAGGTCATTGAGTGGAAAGTCTAAAGGAAAAACCCCCAGATGTAATCAACACCCATGTAGGAATTGTCAAGATTGTGTTTTAGTAACTACAGACTCCTTGAGCAACTGTATTTGTAAACAGATTGGTTTGGTTCTCTGTTTATTGCAGTGTGAGTAAGTGGGAAAAATTGCAAGCATGTTGTCTTGGGTTTGTAGACTAGACCATGAAAAAGAAGCTTGAGATGAAATTTTGAAACAATTTTCCATGCTTATGTGCATTACTGTATTTTTCGCTCTATAACACGCACCCGCCCATAACACACACATAGTTTTTAGAGGAGGAAAACAAGAAAAAAAATATTCTAAACGAAACAGCGGATGTATGATTTTTGTGGTTCATGCTGTGGCCACAGACATGTGATCTGACGGTGAGTTTGGGGTAGCCCAATGCAAAAATCCTGAGGATCCATGTGGATCCATGCTTTGTAACCACGTTTTTGCACCTTTGCGGCCCCAGGCAACAGTGGGTGCGTGATTTTTTTGGTGCAGACTGTAGCCATGGACATGCTATGTGATCTGATGGTGAATTTGGGGTGACCCAGTGCAAAAAATGAGGATCCATGTGGATCTGTGCTTTGTAACCACGTTTTAAGTGGGGAGGGAAGGAAAAGCATTCAAGGGACAAGGAACACGCGTGGGGTGGGTGGAGAAGGATGCTGTTAATAATGCAGAAGAGGTGTATAAAAGGAGAAGCCTCCTCTCCTCTCCCGCTTTGCTCCTTTACAGCAAGCAGGCTCTCTGTCCCTCTCTCCTCCCCATTCAGCGGCTCTTCTCCTGCTTTGCTGTTTCAAAGGAAGCCACGGAGGAGGGAAGGAAGGGGAACCATGGATCCTCTGCTCACGACTGCAGCAGATCCCCCCGCCATCCGTAGGCTTTGGCTCCATAACACGCACAGACATTTCCCCTTACTTTCTAGGAGGAAAAAAGTGAGTGTTATGGTGCAAAAAATATGGTATCTCTTCTTGCAGAGCACCCCTTCTCAAACACTTGTCTCTTTTGCAGGGCTGGGACTTGGGATAGAATCCCGTAGTTTTGCCATGTAAAATCACGCAAGCTCGCCCATCATTAGCTTTGCATTACAGATATTGCAGTAATGGGCAAGGAGAAAGACTAGGCCGAGCCATGTAAGAAGCATCATAGCCAGTTTTTGCGGATGACCAACGGCTGGTCTCCCCTTCCTCATGGTAGCCACATGGTGATAAACATCCAAATTGGCAGCTGAACCAAAATTGAATCCATGTGGTTTTAAAATTGTGGTTTCATGAGTGTTAGCAGTGTGGGTAAATGTCTCCATAAAGAAATTTAATTTTTTCATAAGGTTGTACAAAGGTCTTTGATATCAATAATTTCCCCCAATACTTTCTAAAACACTAATCTTAGTAGCAGGTCATATGCCAAGAGCCAGTTACATATTGGGGAACAGGATTTGAGGGCTTTTTGGAAAATTGCTGAGAAACCAAGAGCTGAAAGAGCTGCTTATTCTTTTTATGGATGACCAAATGCTAGTCTTTCTTTGATCACAGTGGCCCATTTGCTGTAAACATCCATATTGACAGTCTTACTTGTGAGTAAGCCAGTTAATCTGATAGGACCTACTTCTGAATAAACATGCCGACAATTGTGCTGGAGATGTAAGTGGAAACTCAAGGTGCAATAGAAATGATTTACTGGTGCTGTTCGTTCACTCTTTTCTTAAAATATTTGTTTAGGTTTACGAGGCCAGAACATCTAGGAAGCAGTGCCAAAATCAAATGTAGTGGTTGCCATAGCTACCAGGAATCTACCAAACAACTCACTATGAAGAAATTACCCATTGTGGCCTGTTTTCATCTCAAAGTAAGTTACCAAATCATGATTTCAGGCTTGATAGATTTTGGGGGGGGTGCCAAAGACATCTGAGTCTACATCTAAGAACCTCAAGATCTAAGGCAATAGTTCTCAGTGGATGTGGCAGGAGAGGATGGCAAGTGTGGGAAGATTCAAGGACAATCAAACATTTAAGCATTTCGGTGTAGTATAGTATATAGTATCCAATTTTTTTTATTTTATTTTTTGCAGAGTATGGATAGATATATTTTAAAAATGAGAGCAGGCACAACTGAGGAGAATCCTAGTTGTGTTTTCCAATGTATCTCTAATAAAACATTCCGTGTGGAGCAAGCAAATCTTTATACTAAAAGAGTGGCCTAGAAAAAAATTTTTTGAGAACCACTGATCTGATATGAAAGTCTAGTCCATCCAAGACTCTGCATGCTCAAGTCTCAGAGCCCTCTCCAAGAAGAGGTGGAAAATTGGATGTGCAGCCTTGTTCCCTTTGCAGCAGGATGCCTCTGCATTGGCTAGGCCATCCACAGACCTAAAAGAGATACTTGGAATCTGGCCTTCTGTTGTTGCTGGGTCAAAAGAGCTGCATCTTTTGACAGCTGTAATCAAATGTTTCCAGCAGCTGGCTGTAAAATCCCTGGATTGGAGTAACCACTTCTGGTCCAGTCTCAGATCCAAAGGACCCTGCCGGGCAGAGGTTTTTGCTACTGGAACTATGCTCTCTGCCTTTCATTGTGTGATTTATGGAAATGACAAGCATGCAGAATTGGGTGTTCACAAGGATGTTGGTCTATTAAACATTTAATGTACACCTCGCAAGGTATATGCTTTTAAAACATTCTTAACAGACCTTTGATGGGCCTCAAGTAGCTCCCAGCACTTGCCAGCATTTCCCGATACTGTAATCAGAATGTCCTGATTTTGTCATAGGATTAAGAGGAATTGCTTGTGATAGTTAGCAGATTCCACAGTAGGGAACCTGCCTTTGTATTTTTATTTTTGGCACTTTCAGGTGTACTCATAGTTGTGCAGACACCTAGTTCCCGCTTAACCTAAAGTACAGAGAAGTATGGTTTCAAACTGAAACAGTATTCATAGATCTGTGCTGAACTGCAGAGGAGGCTCTCTTGCCACAAGCTATTGTGCCATCCTTTCCAAAATTAAGATTTAATATTTCATGCATCAGAACAGCATTCAGACACTGGTGGAAGTAATTTTGCTAAATTCCACCAGCTGTTTAATTATGAAACTGTAAGTTATTTGTAGCTTAGCTAATGATAACAAAGTCATTATGAGGGGCATATGTTCTGACAGTGTTAATAATGCTGTGAAAAAAGATGAGGAGAAATGCAAAAGGATATCTAGTCCATGTGATTCTTCTTCTTTTTTAAACAGGCTGATCTGTTGCTAGGGAATTGTTATGGTGCTGTAAGCTGCGAATAATTAACAAAGAGTGTAAATAGGACAGGAGTTCCGAGAAATGGAGAGAGGTGCCACCTTCTTAAAGAACAGTTCATTCATCTTTTTGCTCCCTGCTCTCATTCTTCTGTGGCATTCTGCTTAAATGATAATGAAAGTGTGGCGCTTATCACACTTCCCATTGTCTCAGAAATTAATCTCTCCTTGTCTCTTCCTTTCCACCTTCCTTTTCTGTTTATTTCTTGTCAGGATGTGGCACTTCAGTATGGAGTATTCTCTGTTTTTCTTTCCCTTTTTTGGCTGCGTTTTCCCCCTTACTGATACTGAAGTAAGCCTTTAATTATAAGCCAATACAGACACACTGGGTAGCACCTGGGCTATTGTCTATTAAAATTCAACCCCTGTCAAAAAACAAATGGTTTGATTGATTGATTGATTGATTGATTTCTATATACTCTGCTTTCTCATTGCAGTATCCACAGGAACACTATTATTTTATTTTATTTAATATACCCCACCCATCTACACTCTGAGCAGCTTACAGCATATATAAAAACATAGTAAAACATCAAGAATTAAAAACTTCCCAATAGCAATTAAACTTTCAAAACCAGAGATGGGAGCAATTGATGAAAACCTAAAGAACCAGATCAGCTTATTAAAACTACTCAACCCAATAGGTTGAATGCCTTTGAGAATAAAATAACCTTGAGCAGACAGCAGAAGGTCAAGAGAGAGGGAGCCAACTGAACTTTTCAGGGAAGAGAATTCCATCATTTGGGCGCAGTCACACAGAAGACCCTCCTGTGTGTTCCAGCCAAACATGCCTTTGCTATTGTTGGGATGTGGAGAAGAGCCTCCCCTGCAGATCTTAGAGTGAGCAGAGTCATAAGGGAGTAGCTGATCCTTTAAGTTATCCTGTGTCCAGTTTAAGGCTTTAAAATCTAGGATTTTGAATTGTACCCAGAAACAAATTGGAAGCCAATGCAGCTGCAGGTCAGTTGAGCGTTGCTTGTTCCCAAGGGCTGATACTCAACAAAACTCCTGCTGCCTCACTCCGGACCAGCTGATGTTTCTGTAGAATTTTCAAAAGCAAAGATCATTGCAGTAATCCAACCTGCTCATTAATATTCATAACGGGAAAAGCATCTACACAAACGTGTGAATGGCAGACCAACCGTCTGTTCTATTCCCAAGACTCGTATTATGAAGCCGGTGCTGCTCTTGTCACTGGCGGAGGGGAAGGGGGAGCGCATCGCCCCCGGCACTATCGGGGAGGGGGGTACTATTGCGGCCGCCCCCTCGGACACGCGCCGTGCACCCCCCACCGTGCCGAGCACCACGCCCCCGGGACACACACCAGCCATGCCCCTGCCTGTTCTACGCCCCCGGTGCCAGAGCATGCAGCTTCGCCACTGGCTCTCATCTCCTTGACCTGTGTATCTGAGATGAAACAGATGCTTGATTACAGTGAAAGACTTCTTACCAGCTTGTTGAATGGGTGAAACTTGGATTGCTGGCCCTGGCACTTGATAAGCGATAAATTCAAATTATTGTCATTATTGACCTAATGATTGAGATCTTAAAGATGTATCATCTTTCCTTGCATGCTAAAGGTTGTGTATTGCAAGTCTGTACGCTTTGTTGCACAGACTTGAATTGTACATAGGCCGTTGCGTTTTGTTATCGTCCGTCACAATTCCTGCTGGAAAAAGAGACGCTACAGAAACATTGTGGAAATAGAATGCGGCTTGCTCATTTGATCTCACCTTTTCAGTAGTTTACTCCCACTGCCCCTTGGTTTGACTTGGGTAGAAAGAAATGATACTATCCAGTGAGATGTGCTTACATAAGTCATGCTTAATTTCTTTATTCTAGCGGTTTGAACACTCAGCCAAACTGAGACGAAAGATCACTACATATGTCTCCTTTCCGCTGGAGCTGGACATGACGCCTTTCATGGCCTCCAGGTATGTTCCAGGGCCTGTTCTTGTGAGAAAGCATTCTTGTGTGGGGAGACGGCTTAAAAAGAGTTTTGGAACCCCTTCTGTGGAACAGCACGCAGAAAGAAATGAGTAAATGTCGCTTTCCGGTTGGAAACTAGTTGCAGTGTGATTTGGTTACTGGGGTTTTTATGGTGGTGAAATTTAAACTTATTTCAAAACTTGATTAAGTGAAAGTACTCCTGAACTGAAAGGAGTCTGATTCGGCTCCCCCCGCTTTCCTTAAGGCATAGATGTCATTCAGGTCATTTAAATAAAATATCAGTACCTAAACTTCCACTTGTGGAATACCTGGTTTAGCTTTAATCCTAATTAACCAAGATATATTCTCTCTTCCTTGATGCTTCTGTTTGCTGGAATACTTTAGGGAGAGGCATGTTCACAAATAACTCCTGCCATACAAGCTCAGGCTAATACGTTGTTAGACACATCAAAATATACTTGCCCATAGGAAGTGAAAGTTAAACTTTTTTTAGTGGCAGCTGACACTTGTTGTCTACTACTGACAATTTCAAAGCCATTTCCTGCAGAAGTGGGTAGAAACCTTGCATTTTAAAACTAGTCAGTGTTTTGATACTTAAGTTCACATCAATCTTTGGGTTCCTATTCCTATTTTACTAAAATAACATTTCAGATGTTAGCTAACATCTATCGTAAGTTTGAAATTATTGGTTTCTCCACCCCTTACACAGGGAGCTTTATTAATTAGTTTCACTGGTGAAACAGAGTAATCCAATTGCCATAGTCGAAAACATAAAATATGCTAATGAACAAGAGCAAGTGTGGTTCAGCAGTGTAAAGAGAGCTAATGCAATTAAGGTTTTCTTTTCAGTGAAGAATTGGATTAATTTTCTCTTCCTTTCAGTTTTGGGATTTACACAGAAGTATCCTTAGTCTTAGATTGTCATGAAATCTGTCATGGGTGATCTCAACACAAAAGGCTTCCCAGGGCTCCTTTCTTTAGCAAAGCATCAAATATAGGACATCATTGTGATTGGATAATATGATAGGCATGTTTGGAGTGGATAGAGCCATCCATTGGCCATCCTGCTGAACTGCTTTTACCTATCATAAAAGAAGAAATCTAAATGAGTGTAAATTGGGCAAAACTATATTTTCCACCCTTACAGCATCTGTCGTTTCCAGACAGTACAAACAACATCCAACTCTGATTCTGTGGTAATAACAGAGCACCCTGAGAACCTATTGAGGCCTATATTTACCACAAGGGTGGCTAGTGAGTGGAGCGCCAGATGCAGCTTGACTTCAGCTCCCATCATCCATGACCATTGGCCATGCTGGCTTGTCCTGATGGGAATTGTAATCTACAGATCTTCCCAAATGCCCTGGGGGAAACACACTATGTGCTTTTTAGAATTGAACTTCAGGATGCTTCCATGTGACTCCAGTCCACATTCTGGATATGGAGCAGTCCTTCCCCCTCCCTCAAAGATGATAAGGGAACATGGCCAGTAAAAAAAGGCTGTACTTTGGCCTCAAGCATTTTAGCTCCCAGACACACATATCCTCATCAGACAGTTCGTTACGTCAGATGCATTCCACTTACCTGTGCTTGCTTTTTTAAAAAATAAAATCATTACGTTGATTAGTTTTTACATAGGCAGTCTGAAATCTGGCATTGTCCCTTTGAAAATTACCATGGGGCATTGGCATGGATTTCTATCCCCTGTCTGTAAAACCTTTGATTTTTTCTTTCTTTCTTTTTTGAAGCAGTGTTACCCTTTTTAGTGTGTCCCATCTTCTCCATCAGCAAGTGGTTTATAAGTCAACATGCTGGCTGGGGCGGATGGGAACTATAATCTAGAGGTCACCAGGTAGGCAAAGGCTGTTCTAGGGTCTTAGCCTTCACTATCCATCTCAGTTTTGTAAGGCAAAAGCTTTGGTGAGCAGAGCAAGCATTGGAAACATATGGGCACATTATGATTTCTCCCCCTGCCCTGCCGATTAAGAGGCGGCTTTATTCTGATTGGCTGAGATCACTGTGGGCCCAGGAGTAGACTTGGTTCCCACCCTGGTAGTGCTCCTTTGTTTCCTCTGTATAGGCAGCCCCCCTGTTTATGCACGTTCAATACACACAATATACGCACATTGCAGTGAACCTGGAAGTGACCCAGAAACGTCATAAAGATGTCTGTGAAACGTCACTAAAAGGGCAGTACAGGGACGGGGTGGGGGTGTAGCTGAGTGTTTGCAGGCTTTTTCAATGGGTTTCAGTTATATGTGATTTCACCAACGTGTGCAGTACCTCGGAATGGATCCCCCGCATAAACAGGGGGCGGCTGCCTGTATAGGGAAATGATTTCTCATTCATTCCGGGGGGGGGGAGAGTATTGCCCATATGTAGCACAATGCCTTCCACCCTCGACCCTAGGCTGTGCAACCCTCAATGGCAGAGATCATACAGAAAGGTGTAACACACACACAGAGAGAGGGAGAGGGAGAGGTGGAGAGAGGTGTACAGGTCCTTGCAGTACACAAACCCTCCCACACAGCCCACCAGTCACAATAGGTGTTTTTTTATTAGTACTGCAAACACCAAGTTCTGTTGATACATGGGTAGGTGATGCCAGTTCCAGATGGCTGTTTATATTAAGCCCCCTGCCTCCTCCTTTTGAGAAGCATCTTCATAAGTACGAACGAAGATTTTTTTAACCCTCTTATATGATGTACACCTTATAAATACAAATCAACGTTTGGAATCTACTCTGTTGAGAGAAACCAAGGAACTATTTACAACCCTTTGTCTTTTTAAATGATTCTGAATATTTGTGTGTGTTTTTGTTTTTTTGCTGTAGTAAAGAGAGCAGAATGAATGGGCAGTACCAGCAGCCGGCAGATAGTCTAAACAATGATAATAAGTAAGTAGTATTGAATTCTGTGGCTCTCCCTCTTGGATGAGATGGACTAGAAATCTGTTCTGTATCCTGCAGAGGTGTAGAAAGGCGTGGGTGTGTTGAGCATGTAGCATTATATACTAGCCCTGATAATAAAAATCCAAGAGCTAGGTCTTATGCTTCAGTTTGCTTCTGTTCCTTTTCTGTTTGCCTCCTCTGCCGTTGCCACCTACCAAATCCTACAGTTGGCTCCAAATCCTTCTATCAGCTATGCAATTTTAGCATCTGTACTGTATCTGCCTCTACCACCATTGCCTACCCACTAGCCCAGGGGTCAGCAAACTTTTTCAGCAGAGGGCCGGTCCACTGTCCCTCAGACCTTGTGGGGGGCGGACTATATTTTTTTTGGGGGGGGGGAATGATGCAAGAGCACCACGAGCCCCGGTGGCTGCTTACCTGTGTCTTGCAAGCGGCAGGGGCTGGCGGCGGCAGAGGGACGATAAGCAGCGCGCAAAAGGGCTCCAGAGAGGGGCTGCTTAAAATAGCGGCTGCTTGAGTGTTACTGCTGCTGGCACCAACAAAGCCCAGCCCCCTTCCTCCTCTAGGCAGGGCGGGGAGAAGCCAGGAGGAGGGAGGGAGGAGGAGGCTGTGTGAGGAAGAAGGAAAGAACGTGTGCGCTGGCGATCCACACGACAATTCCCGGATCATCCGCGGGCCGGATCCAGAAGGCAATTGGGCCTGATCTGGCCTTCGGGCCTTAGTTTGCCCACCCATGCACTAGCCCAATGACTGACCTACTCTCTAAAGCAAGGGTTTGCACTGTTGACCACCAGAGCAATGCAACTACAGCTGCTATTCCCAGATTTAAAAGGTGAAAGGAAAGCAGTGTAAATGGGTAGAGACTGGTATCTGCAAGTGACAGGCTAAGCTGGGTGCATCGTCATACTTCTTTGTGTAAAATGAATCTTGGCCTCTGTGCTTCCCTAGCTGTGGATTGTAGCCAATGTTAATCCCACTCGGAACCAACTCATTTTAAGCCCATTATCAACAATGCAAAGAGGTGACTGCTTTTGATACAGGATGTGAGGTTGTGCTCTTTGGAGAACCTTATTACAAATAAGCATTATCTGTATTGCTTAGAATTGTTGCAGTAGATATAATTCACCTCACAGGTTGCCTCTCATAGCGTGGGGGGGGGGCTGTGAAAAATAATTAACTTAAAATGTGTGCCGCCTCAGTTTATTAATGTTCGTTAGAAGCCATAGCAAGAAATAGCACCTCATTCTTTAGGGGCAATATTCCTCTTAACTGCTACCCAGGCATCAATGTTGGTGGGTCTAGTGCAGCCAGGTGAGCAAAATGCTGATTTTCTGCCAGGTAGGCAGTCTGGGATATGAAACCAGACAAGCACATAGGTTAGTCTGACAACAACTTGACCTTCTCTCTAGAGATAATTTGGTATATTATTGTGGAATTCTAGGCCCAAGTAAAATTCCTTGCGTCATCAGAGAATCTCTGCAGCAGCTCCCATTTCTGGTAACTGCAATGGCAATGCAGAGGGTGAGATGCTTGAGTCCATTTACTTCAGCCCATAGTTGAAGACCCAGACCTCTTACACAATGGAGACCTTGTGCCACCATGTCCTGTTTTATGCGTTTCCCAGAGTCATTCAGTTGGCCACTGTAGGAGAGTGAGTGCTGTGCTGACCTAATTTTGCATGGATTAACAAGTCAGTGCTGAAGTCTTCTAATGTGTACTACTTACAAGGAGACTTTTGAGAGTTATATTCCACATCATATCTCTTATTAATAGTTGTTCTTACAGTTTTGGTTTCAAACGCTTGGCATTTCCCAAAGTTCTGGGTGCAGAGCACAGGAAGCACCCTTGTGGATATGCCCCGCTTTTGCAAGTATTTTATAAAGACTCAAGTAACATTGATTGAAATAGCTGCTGCATTTCCTCTTGACCTAAGTGCTTTCTCCCAACTTGTTTTGCCACCAGGTATTCCTTGTTTGCAGTAGTTAATCACCAAGGAACCCTGGAGAGCGGGCACTATACCAGCTTCATCCGGCAACACAAGGACCAGTGGTTCAAATGTGACGACGCCATCATCACCAAGGCTAGCATTAAGGATGTACTAGACAGCGAAGGGTACGTCTTGAGCAAAACACAGAGGAGGGCAGCCTCCTGTTTAAGCCATAAAATGCCATTTTCGATCATTTCCTTTTCGGTACATTCATGAAGTGTAAAGTGCAGCAGACTCCAGATGAGGAGAAATGGAGAGGAACATGTGCAGTCAGATTTCAGGCTGACCTTTTGGATACACTCACAAGGGACAGGCAGCGGGGATTCTAGCGCCTTTCCCTTACATATGTTGTCTTGGGTTGAGCTTGTTTTGTCCAGCAGAATCCAAACTGCATACTCGGCAGAACTTAAAAGGTTGTGCTCAGGGAACCTAATAAAGGTCCCTATATATAAACTCTGCAATTTGTCAAGAATGCAGAAGCCACGCCCCCAGATGCCAAAAGTCATACACTGCCCCCTTTTGTTAATAAGACTCTGATGCACATTGATCACATGCGTTTGCAAGCTTGTCTTTGCAGCTGATGTCAATAGAAATTGTATTTTTGTGTGTGTTTGGCTTTTTAAAAAATTAAAGCTGAAAGCTGCACTTTGCAGACCTGTGACATACAAAGCCCTCTGTACAAGACACCAGTGGTTGCCACTCTCCCATGTCACATCCAGGGCCTATAACTGGTTTGGCATATGATTCTTGCCGCTATCCATAGCTAGGTGTTGTTAAGGCTGCAATATATTGTGATGTTCTTTATCACTGTAGAGCTGCATTCTATTTTGGGGGGTGGATTGGGTGGGGGTGGAGAAGCATGACAGTTTGAAATCTGGAGTTGCCTCCGCTTCTGGCATTCCACGCTCTTGGCTATGATAAGATTGATCCCATCATCCTGTTCCTGTTTTCTTAATTACACCTGACATTTTCACCCCACTGCTTGCTTAAAGGGTAGATGTGTGAGCTTGCAAGTTTTAAAAAAAGAATCATTTGAAATCTTGGGAACGGTCTCCTCCGAAGGCAGGCATTTTTTACTTTCTCGGTATCTCTCAAAGTGAATCCTTGAGCTGGTTTTTAATTCAGAAATGTTGTACCACGGCTTTTAGAGGTTTGAGAAATGCTGGTTATTTATCCAGAGTGAAACTTAACTGTAGAGACCAGAAGCCTGATGGCCTGATGTTAACCACCTGGGTGCCCCCTACTGGCTTAGCATCATCATTTGTGTAGCTCTGACCTCGTCCTGTAGGCCTCCTTTCTGGGTACCAAACTAGACCAGTCTCTGCATTAAGCAGTCTAGTGCAGATCCAGAATAGAATGGGCACATACCATGATGAGTCATTTGCTTTAAATTATTTAGAGATTCACAGTATGACCACGAAGGAGAGCTAGCGTCGCTGCCTCCCTGGAATAATTCCTGCCTTGTGAGAAATAGTCCTGCTTTTAACATGGCTGAGAGAGAAAGAGCTGTATGGGAATGTCAGTCAGTCAGCTGCTGCAGACAGCATTAAAATGGTGCCTTGTCCTTCCTCTTTTTGTCATCTTCCTGCAGATATTTGCTGTTCTATCACAAACAGTTCCTGGAGTACGAGTAGCCTTCTTCAGCAGCTCAAGAGAGAAATGAAAGGAAGTGAAATGAATGGCAGCCTTCTGAAAAGACACACAAACCTACCTGAAATGAAAAGACACCCATTCGACATCTAGCACTGAGCTGCGACAGGACCTGCTTGCCGCTGGCTCGTGGCCTAGAGGAGTAAGAAACGAACAATGTCCATCGTGTACGCAGTCCTGCAGGGACAGAAGAGGGGGGGAATGTAAAAGAGGCTACAGTCAGTGACTTTGAAAGAAGAAATATAATAACGCAAAGATTGCTCTGGGTGGGGAAAATAGGAGCAGAGGAATCCAGGCGCTGGCACATCTCCCTCCGTTCCTCCAAAATGTGTGTGGGAAGGCCGGGGGGTGTACTCTCATCTCCATAAAGCATCTTCTCCATTGGTGCTTCAGCTCCAACTGACCAATCATACAACAGTTATAATTAAAAAAAAAAAAAGTCCAAGCCCATTTTTTTTATGCCTATGGGTCTGAAAGCAGTAAAATGGAGGAGAATTGGGACGACGCAATGATATGGACTTTGCAAGTACCTTTTTATTTGTGAATTTTAGTTATTAAATAAATACAGTATGAAATTACCGGGCTCTTTGTTTTTCGGCAAGCATTAAAAGGAAGTCCGGAAATGCGGAACCGAAGTCGCGATGCTATGCGAGGCTTCCCAGCATGCCTCCTCCTGCTGCTGCTACTGCACAGGTAACCTTCTGACACCTTGGGACTGCTCATCAAAAGTGTCAGCACTGATTCTTTTTCTGTCTGAGCCCCCCCTTTTTGTTTTCTATAAATAGCTATTTTCTTAATTTCCACACCCTTTTGTTCACCCTCCCCACGAGAATGAAATTCATATTTGCAACCATCAGTAAAATGAATGAATTGGCGTGTTTATACTGTAAAAGTGGTCTTGATTGTTTATTTTTTTGTGGGGGGCAGGGAACCTGTGAATTAAGTTGGAATTCTCTGGACGGTGTTGTTGGGTGTTTTTCCACCCTCTCAAAGAAATACTGCACTCGGGAGACACTTGGAATCGAGAAACCTGCCATCTGCTAACTCTGGTAACTGGGTGCCACTGTTGCAATTAATTTTCAACTATTGGACACCTCTGCCTCAACACCAGACACTAAGTAAACAAAGGATTTCCCCACTTGCTCTGCTTTTATTGGTCCCTTATCTCTCAGATATATTAATTTTCTCATACATCACTCCCATTCTGTATACAAAGCCTCCTGGCTTTGTCATTACCTCCCAAAAGCCCAGGAGCTTGCTTGCTTCTGCCTTGTCACAAATGTGTTTATGTTCTTCCCCCCACCCTCTGCTTCCTTCTCCCCCCTACTTACTGTCTAGACACTGGCTGGGAGTCCACATGGGCTGTATATTTTATAACCCAGAGGTGGGGCTGCGTTTGATTTGCTGCTTATGGAGAAAGGGGCTTTCTTGCCTAGTAAAAAACAAAAAAGCCCTGCTTTTGGTGTGGGTGGGTGTGGTTTTTTAAAAAAAGAAAGATCTGTACACAATAGCGAGAGTGAATGGTTTTGTAACCTCTTTTCCATTTACAACCACTTTCGCATTTATGTGAGTAAAGAAACACTTTTAAAGGGCCCGCTGATAGTGCTGGGGTGCCAGCTAAATTTCTATAAAAATCTCCTAACTTTTTATTTTGAAGGCTGCTTCCTACTTTTAAAACAACAATTCTATCATTTATACAAAGCCTTTGGGGGGGGGACCCAACCATTCAGCTTTCAGAGATTGTTACCAAATTCAGCAGTCTTCTAGCACATGTAGAACAAGTGTTCTGTGTATTAAGACCAACTTCCCCACCCTGGTGCCCTCCAGCTGTTTTTAGACTACAATTCCCATCAGCTCCTGCCAGCACAAATGCTGACTGAAGCTGATGGGTGTTGTAGTGCAAAAACCAGATGAAGGGTGTGGAAGCTTGGACGAGATGGATCCTGGATCCCATAACATTTGGTGGGGGAGAAAGGGTAGTAAATTCATTGATCCAGCTTTTGCATGTTCCCTCCAAAATGGGATCCTGCGGCACACGGAGAAGCAGAGCAGTCCTGTGCGATGAGAGCAGATCGTTGGCACGAGCTAGAAGTATACAATGATTTCTCTAGGAAGAGGTGAGTACAACTCAGGTGTCTCAGACTAATGGGCAAGACACTTGCTTCCATTCTCATGAGCCTCTGGCCTGTGCTTGTCTTGTGGGGTTTTCTCGTGTTCTTGGAAGATGAATTAAAAAAGAGAACAAGGGGATTTCTGCTGCTGCTTTTCTTATTTCGGTTCTGAAGATAAAGTAAGATTGGTACTTCCATTCAAAGTTAGATCATGTCCTTGTCCAAGTTTTTAAAGCTCTGTTTTGAGGAGCCCTGTGCTATTTAAGAAAGATTACTAGGAGCCCCTCATGTGAGGTTCTGGGGCTATTTTCAAGTGCATATCACCATTTGATGTGTACAGATTACGTAGAAATCCCAAAAGATGCCCTGACTTAGAGAGCTGGCTGATTATTGTAATGCCGCCCTCCTTACTCCTTTTCAATAATGCAGCAAGCTTGCAGTGGAAGAGGAGTTGGCCTACTGCTTCCTGCCCAACGCTGGAGCTCAAGCTGCATTAAAGTGGAAAAAATAATAATAGAGGCATGGCACCCCCTTGTGGTTGAATGATACATAGGATCTCTCTCCACTTCCAAGCTCTCTATATTTACTGTCAGATGTCAAAACAATTGATTTTTTAAATCATTGCTTAGGCAGAAATGGATGTGATCATTAACCCCTGCATACATCCTTGATGCTTGCAGTGTAATAACCAGGAATAACCAGCTGCAAATACCTTCCCGCCACAGCAGTACTTATTTATCTACTTGCACTGGCATGCTTTCGAACTGCTTGGGTTGGCAGGAGCTGGAACAGAGGAATGGGAGCTCACCCTGTTCAAACCGCCGACCTTCTGATTGGCAAGCCCAAGAGGCTCAGTGGTTTAGGCCACAGCGCCACCCACATCCCATAAGACGGCTTGCCAGCAGTACACGTGAGAAGGATCTAGGAGTCTTAGTTGACCACAAGCTTAACTGAGTCAACAGTGTGATGAAACAGCAAAGAAAGCGAATGCTATTCTAGACTGCATCAACAGGAGTATACCGTGTTTACGCAAATCTGATGTGCACCTCAATTTTCAAAACCTTGAAGCCACAAAAGTATTTGCTTGCATCATCAAATCTAATGTGCATCCTAATTTTCGTGAAGTAGCTTGGCCAAAAAAAGGTGCACATTATTCGAGTAAATATGGTAGTTTCCTGATCAAGGGAAGTAACAATGCCACTCTATTTTGCCTTGGTTAGAGCACACCTGAAGTACTGAATCCAGTTCTGGGCACCACAATTTACTAAGGTTATGTGCAAGCTGGAATGAGTGCAGAGGAGGGCAAGCAAGATGATCAAGGGTCTGGAAACCAAGCCCTATGAGGAATGGTTGAGGGAGCTGGATATGTTTAGCCTGGAGAAGAGGAGAGCTGGATATGTTTAGCCTGGAGGGAGGAGATACAGTAGCCATCTTCAAATAACTAATGGGCTGTCACATGGAAGATGGAGCAAGCTTGGTTTCTCCTCTGGAGGATAGGTCCTGATCCAATGGATAAAAGTTGCAAGGAAGGAGATTCTGACTAAACATCAGGAAGAACTTTCTGACAGTACGAGCTGTTGGACAGTGGAATGAACTCCCTTTGGAGGTTGTGGACTCTCCTTCCTTGGAGGTTTTTAAGCAGAGATTGGGTGGCCACCTGTCATGTATGCTTCAGCTGAGATTCCTGCATTGCAGGGGGTTGGACTAGATGACCCTCGGGATCCCTTCCAACTCAACAATTCCATGATTCTAGGATGCCACATTCCACTTCCCAGGGCTACAAGTTCTAGAATTCCCCGCAAAGAAGGATTGATTGTCAAACTACTCTGGAAACCATAGTTCTAGGAGGGGAATAGCGGTCTCTCCTAACAACTCTGCAGTCTTACCTCCTGGAATCCTTTGGGGAAAGCCATAGCTCTTTAAAGTGGTTTGATGCTGCTTCAAATGTATGGTGCGAATGTGACCCAATATCAGACATAACATGGAAGAAGGAGAACTATTTGTCATCTTCCAATGGGTCTCTTTAGCGAGATCACCCAAAAAACAACAACCCACCCTTAAAAAATATTGTGCAATCCCTTTTTTTATAAGCATGTTTTCATTAATTTGAGGTTACCTTTTGGCCTTTTTATGTTCCAACTCTTCTGTTTATGTTGTGCTTTTCAAATGCAGGTGGTGGAGAAGAGATATTTAGCTCAGTCTCTTCCAACCCCCCCCCCCCCAGTTTATCATTATTTTGAAAGTACTCCTTGACAACAAGCCATGCCCATTTGAAATTCGGACAATACAGGCTGCATTGTCTCTTTTAGCATCGTGGGCTTCTCTTTCCAGCCCGCCGCACAGTGAGCGCTGGAAGAAAGAGTTGCCATCCTAACATCCGCTCACATGCATGGGCAGTGCTATTGCTCCGGTTGCCTGGTAACCAGGGAGAGGGCGAGCGGATGCTGAATTAAATAGCATTTCGGGTCGGTCGGTCTCAACGCTACTTTCTGCTTGCTGTCAGGGGCAGGCTGGGAATGGGCTTTATTTACAACTGATGGATCAACTTGTCTTTGTTCTGCTGGGGAGCATTTCAGCCCAAGAAGCCGTACGTAGTTGGCGATGTGCTGGTGGTGACTGGGGCGTGGCCCGCTTTCGGCCATAAAAACCACTCCTGTTTACTATAATGAACTTCCAAGTATTGGAAGCGATTTACATGTGTTGACAGTCTCAATATATGTGGAGGGATTTGTGTTTGATGGGGCTCCTACCCCAGTCAAGAAAGGAAGCCATAGAAGACTGGATTGATAAAGGGGGGGGGGAATAACCCTTTGCTTTCCAGCTGTGTGTTCATTCTAAATCTCCTCCCTGGGGTGCGGGGTTGGGACAGAGTGATACAGGGATCCACATCTTCCCTTGCCGTGGCTGGAACCAGCTCTCCACACACACCCTTCTCCTAGAACTTGCAGAGAAATGAAGAAGGCACAGGTGCAGCCTGGGACTCTGTGGGAAAGACCCTGGAGAGGAGGAGTCCTAGTTGATGCTGAGAAAGCAAGGGGCCTTTGGTCCTCTCGGCTGCCGTGTGGGAGCAAGACCTCCTGGGAAGAGTTGGTGAGATCGCTAGGCCTACGCTGTTTTCGGTTTCTTGAATAAAGAGTTGACTTCTCTGAGACCATGTTTTTCTTTGCTGACTTTGGCTCCTGACAATTAAAATAATAATCTCCCATCAGCCCCAGCCAATATGGACAGGGAGGGTGGGAGCAGTTGTGCTAAAACACCTGAAAGATTACAAGTTTCCCATTTCTGTTTTGTTTGTTTTTTAAAATAATTTTTATTAACAGGCCAATCACATCACATTAATTCCAAATCACAATAATTCCAAATTACACAGCCAAATTTTTAAAATTTTTGTTGGGGGTACCCATGCTTCGAGCTCCGAAAGGGATCCGATCATCTCTCTTGCTGCTGCTGCTTTAATTACACAGTTCTGTCAAAATAATATTCACAGTTCTGTTCAATCTTCTCTTTGTTGTTTTCCTCATCTTCTTGTTGTTATCATATATTCCTTTCTTTGTGATCTCTGATAATCTCCACTAGCAGGTTGAAGACAAACGTTGTTATATTCTGTGTGGATTTTACACTCATCCAAGAGCCATAAAAGTAGACAGACGCCATTTCAACACCTCCGTACAAAACATTCCGACAGTCTGTCCTGATCTCCCCAGGCCCGCCTCAAGTTTCCCATTTCTGGGGGGGAACCGCTCCTTCCCCAGTGGCTGGGAATACCAGA